AGCCCCCTCACATTGCACCACCATGGCAGCATGATGCGTAAGTGGGGTCAAGGTTGGTGTAGTGGTTAAGTGCGCGGACTCTAATCTGGGAGAACCGGGTTTGATTCCCCACTTCTCCACTTGCACCTGGCTGGGTGACCTTGGGCAAGCCATAGTTCTGATAAGAGCTGTTCTTGAAAAAAGAGCAGTTTTTGTCAGAGCTCTCTCAGCCCCGCCTACCTCACAGGGTGTCTGTTGTGGGGAGGGGAAGGGAAAGGAGTTTATAAGCCGCTCTGAGGCTCCTTTGGGTAGTGAAGGGCGGGGTATAAATCCAATCTCTTCTTCTTCTTCTAAATACGGTGGTAAAAAAGGCAAATTCAGTCTTGGGTTGTATTAAAAGGGCCAATGCATTGAAATTGCAGGAGGTCATAGCCCCTCTGTATACTGCCTTGGTCAGGGCGCACCTTGAGTACTGTGTGCAGTTCTGGAGGCCTCACTTCAAAGAGGATGTAGGCAAAATCGAGAGGGTGCAGAAGAGAGCGACGAGGAGGATCAGGGGTCTGGAGACTGAGCCCTACGAGGAAAGGCTAAGGGCCTGGGGAATGTTTAGTTTGGAGAAGAGGAGATTGAGGGGAGACATGATTGCTCTCTTTAAATATTTGAAAGGATGTCATTTGGAGGAGGGCAAGGAACTGTTCCAGTTGGCAGCAGAGGATAGGACTTGAAGCAATGGGTTTAAATTACATGCAGAAAGGTATTAGCTGGATATTAGGAAAAACTTTTTAATGGTCAGAGTGGTTCAAAGGTGGAATCAGCTGCCTAGAGAGGTGGTTAGCTCCCCTTCACTGGCAGCTTTCAAGAAGGGGTTGGACTAGATGGTCTGTATGGCCCCTTCCAACTCTATGATTCTATGAAATACCTTCTGAGCTCCATTGCATTGTGCTGCGGCAGTACAATGTGGAAGTGGACTTCTGAGTTAAATGCCTTCTGAGTTGACTTCCGCATCACATTGCCACGGTGGCAGGGCTTGCAAAAGCCATTTAAATGGATGTGTTCCCTTTAAATGGCTTTTGCAAGCCCTCCCCCATTACAAACCTCACAAACTATAAACTGGTTCGTAAAATAGAAAAGTTTGTGAAAGTTGGTGGTTCGTGAAACCCACAAACCTCCACTTTTTGGTCTGTGCCCATCCCTAGTGCACAGTGGCCAGGGTGTGAAGCCTATTTTGCATACATGATTGACAGCTTGGCTAGACCCTTGAAGATAGCTCTGCAAGGCAATTGTAAGCCATCCTAACTCTGTTGTTTGGCCTGTAATCTCATTAGTAAATTTGCAGGTATATGACTTATACAAATTACTTCCATGAGCAACATTTCAAAGCAGATACTCTCACTGCATACTGCCTTAGAAAAGCAAATGCTGCCTCCCAGGTGTACTCTTTTCCTGATAACATAAGATGAATGTACAAGATGGTGGTGGGGATTGGTATGACAAGCTCTGCCCCTCAACATCCTCCATACATTCATATGTGCAGGGTCTTTGCATGTACTGGTGCATGCACACAAGGGCTTTCTCCATAGGATCAAAAAAACCTAGAAAAAGCAGGATTCTTGAGTGCATGAAGATATCAATATATGTGTGCAACCACAGATGAGTAGGCTCTATATATGTGCACCAATAAACATGCATAGGTCTGGGGCAAAGCTTGGTTCTGTTACCCTGTTCCCCCTCCTTGAAATATCTTTAAATGGCTACTGCAGGCAAGTATTAACTTCCAGTTTGCACTGGTTCTCACTGGGGCAGAGAAGAAACTGTGTGTTTCCTAGATACACAGGTCATTCTGGTGATCTGCACAAATTCACAGAGGACTAGAAACTGCCCAGATCTTGAGAACTTATTCAAACATACAAAGATCATATAGCAAATTCCCAAGTATAAACTTGTTCCTCTGTCTTGCAGGACAGTTTGCTATTAAACAGCTAGTGCTTACACAGAGGGTGTATTGAAAGTGCAAGAGCATGGTTTCTGAGTAATGTGTTTCTGCACAGCAAAGATGTCTATTTTTCGGGACTCACAAGTTGACAGGCATACAGGATGGTGGGGAGCACAGAATGAAGTTTGCTGACAGCTCTAGCCAACTGATTTGTTAGTAAGAACTTCAATATTTTAAAAATGAGAAATGGTTATCATTTAAACCAGACAGCCAGATTAGTGTAGTGGTTAAGAGCGTGAACCCTCATCTGGGAGAACAGGGTTTGATTCCCCATTCCACATGCAGCTGGATCAGTTACAAGTTGTCTCACGAGCAGTTCTTGAAAGAGCTCTCTCAGCCCCACCTACCTCCTGTGGGGAGGGAAAGGGAAAGGAGTTTGTAAACTGAGACTCCTTAGAGTAGTAAAGGGTGGAGCATAAATCCAATCACCTCTTCTTCTCTAAATAGAGAAGTTTCTCTTCATCATTTGGGGAACATGTATTGAATAATAATAATAATGTCTCTGAAGGAGAGATTGTTGGGATATGGGGAATGTACTGTAGTCAGGGCTGGGAGTTCTTGGCACACACGCACAAAATCCCAGAATCCATTCAAAGACAACCTAATGCTGCTCTAAGAAAAACCTGAATATGAATCAACCATGCAAATCAATACAATTAATGCTTCTTCTGTTTGTAAGGAACAGGGGCAAGAAACACTGAAGCTTTACTAGGGATATAGGCTCACTCCAGTTGAGTAGTGTCCTGTCTGAAATAAAGTTTTCTAAACCAGGTTTCCTACCCTGACTTGGCTGGCCCAGGCTAACCTTATTTCATCATAAGAACGTAAGAGAAGCCAATGTTGGATCAGGCCAATGGCCCATCCAGTCCAACACTCTGTATCACAAAGTGGCCAAAACCCAGGCACCATCAGGAGGTCCACCAGTTGGGCCATAACTACAGAATCCCACTGTTGCCTCCCCCAAGCACCAAGAATACCGAGCATCACTACCCCAGACACAGTGTTCCATCTATACCTTGTGGCTAATAGCCACTGATGGACCTCTATTCCATATGTTTATCCAGGCCCCTCTTGAAGCTGTCTATGCTTGTAGCTGCCACCACTTCCTGCGGCAGTGAATTCCACGTGTTAATTACTCTTTGGTGAAGAAGTACTTCCTTTTATCTGTTTTAAGCTTATTGCTCATTAATTTCATTGAGTGCCCAGGAGTTCTTGTATTGGGGGGGGAAAGGGAGAAAAGTATTTCTTTCTCTATCTTCTCTATCCCATGCATAATTTTGTAAATCTCTATTAAATCACCCGTCAGTCATCATTTCTCCAAGCTAAAGAGCCCTAACCTCTTTAATCTTTCTTCATAAGAAAGATGTTCCATCCCGTTAATCATTTTAGTTGCCCTTTTTTGCACCTTTTCCAATGCTATAATATCTTTTTTGAGGTGTGGTGACCAGAACTGTACACAGTATTCCAAATGATCAGACCCTGGAAGCCTAAGCAGGGTCACTGTGGTTGGTATTTGGATGGAAGGCCACCAAGAAGGTCAAGGATTGCTATGCAAGAGCAGGCAATAGCACACCAACTCTGAACATCTCTTGCCTTGAAAACTCTACAGAGTTGGTATACGTCGGCTGCAATTTGACGGCACTTTCCACCTCCTAAATACATGCCCTGCTGAGGCATGCCCAGATTATCTCCACAGCCAAATGGGCTAAACTTGGATTTAAAAAACCAAAAACATGAAAGCTGAAATCCTCAGGACGTTAATATCTGCACTTGTGTGAGGCAACAGTGCACTTAGGGAATTCAAAGAGCCTTGAATGCAACAGATTCTTTCTGCTCCTTATATACAGTAACACCAACCATTGCAGGCAGCATACACATTTAACACACTGCAGTCTTTCTGAGGCTGGTTCCACACTCGTCACATTGCTGTAATTTGTTTACCCAGTTTTTATGGAACATCCAGTCAATCCCTTTGTATTCCAGTACTTACTCTCTATATTCTCTTCCTGCCTCTTCGGATTGAATTGTGGTTTTAAAAACATAAAACATGGTTGCAATACTAGGGTGTCCCATATGAACAGTCAGGGCAATTGAAACTTTTCAGAGCTATAGTATTTTCAGATTTTCAGTCCTTCCTTCTACTTCTGCCTAGTTCTATTTGTACTCATGAATGAATTATAAATTATCTGCTCTTGGTCCCTTGCAGAGGGACTTGCGTACTCTTTTGTAGTTTGTCACAGCCATGGCTCTTTTAAAATTTTGTAAATTGCACATTTACAATAATTAACAATACAGTTAAAAAGCATGAGCAAGGGCTTGCACTGGCTATAAAGAAACAGAGGCTATACTTAACTTCCCCATACTTGCAGGGGAAAAACACCTGATAATTAACCTTGGTTTCATCAGTGGTGGGAGAAAACTGGCAAGCCTGAGAAGTATGATTAATTAGCATGAAAACATAGGAATAAAAGGGGAATTCCAGGGGGAAATGGTACTTTCGCTGAAGTACATTTAATAATGTTTTTTTTTTACTTACTGAAACATTTATATCCCACCTTTCCTCATGGTTCAAGGTGGCTTGTCTGAGGAAATAGATTTTAATTATATAATGCTTTCTTAAATGTCATGTGGAACCCCTGTTTCCATTCTGTTTGCATCTGAATGTAAAAAAAGGAACAACTAAGAAGTGCAAAAAAGTTGTAGTATGGAACCACCTTAAAATAAGACACACTGTTGGAACAGAAAATTCAAGTAGCCTTCTCAGCACCCCCCCCCCAAAAGAAATCCAACCAATTTTCTTTCCACCATACTTGCCAAAGAGTACCAAACACACAAATTATAGTCTGTCATCCAAACACTGATGCATGTAAGAAGTCATAACCAGTCCTCCTAAACCATCCAAAGAAAAAAATTGAAAAAAATCTGTTTCCTCTATGTATCTTCCAGACAGGAATGATCAAACATCAGTCAGGTTCACCTCTACTGGCAACTAAAAGTACATCAAGTTTAAAGAATTACCCTGGCCTTGGCATCAGTCTAAGTGGCTTAAGGTAGCTTTCTGAAGACCTATCATAACCCAAAGAAAATGTGAGATAATTAAAAGTTCCATTTTAGATGGAGGGAAAATTTACTTGTTTATTCAATTGTTGTTCAGTTACTGGAATTCTCAGAGGTTCCATTTATTGGAATTCTCAGTAGCTGAGTCTATATTAGTTTAGAGGGAAGGCTGTTGTATCGTGGTTGTATCATGCTCCTATCATATGGACAGCTCATAAAGAAAAGTTTATCTCCGATACCTCCATCTTCCTCAGTGCTATTGCAGACCATCCAGAAGAGCTCTTCCCAGGACTGAATTACCAGTTTTCAAGGACACGTCAATATATTGTTACCCAGGCTAGGTGCACACCTTATGCTTGAACTTATGTTGAACCACCATTATCTCATTATGGCAAGATTAGCAGTAGGGGTGAAGGCAGGCTTGAATGAATTGTAAGTCTCTAGACACTTAAGTGAGCTTCTATCAAAGCCACCAGGGTATTGTAAACAAATCTCAAAAGAGCTTCCACTCTAAATACAGTTGCAGTAGGCAAAGAGATCTAGACACTCCAAATGCTTCCCTGCTCTTCCAACAGCACGAAGGAGGTTCTGTATCTTCTCTTCCACAAGGCCTGTTGATTGTACTTTCTAAACCACAGGTTTAGACCTTCAATGTACAGCACATTCCTTGGCATTACCAGTTTCCTCTCCCATCACATCAGGATTTAAGCTCCTTCTCTGCTCTATTTCCACCTGATGAGAAAGAAAGAGTTAAAGAACAAAAGCTGGCCTAATTTCTGCTTCCTGGCATCCTCTGTCTACAGTAACTTGCTCTAAAGCAAGAACAGCCAGCTTCTGAAGTCTTAGGGGCCATATTATTTTCAAGCAGTCACTAATGAGTGGAAGCATATGTTGGATCTTCTTCGTGATCTCTGTGCAATCCCACAAGGGGGTTCGAAAAAATGGAACACTATCAAAGGAACAGGTTTTCTATAGTTGTTGTGGAGGGGTTTTTTTTGTCTATCTCATGGATGATAGAATTTTGCTTCCTAAACTACCACATTCCTACACCTCGGAAGCAGGCCCTTCCCTGAGAAGGTTCAGGATGGGGGAGAGAGACTGGATTCTTCCCAGCCATGATGTCAGTGCCAGGCTAAGAGTAATACCAGTTTCAGCAAATGGAGAACTGCCTGTTATTTAATAACATGTATAAACAACCTATGGGTGTCCCTGTAGATTAAATGTAGAGCCTTATTTGGGACATTCATTGTTAAACTAGCTCTCCAGCATGAATCTGTTACATTGTCTGCTTTGGAAAGGGCAAAGTTTACTTCGCTTGCATTAACACTAAATCTAAATTATGCAGAAAAGGGGGGGGGATCTGCAAAGACTTACAGGAGAGAGGAAATCTTTTTGGGTTGGATCCAATGATCCACTCATACAATGATTACAGATCTTCCCCAGTATTCCCATCCCCTTCCCTCAGTGGTCCCTTCTGACCCATGAAAGCTGATTCCCAGGGGCACATGGCGTAATAGCCATGTGGGTCAGTCTGCTGCAGTGAGAAAGGGGGTGAAATTTTCCCCTCTTCTCTCAGTGCAGTTCTGCTGCTGTGGAAAAGACAGGAGGGACAATATGCCCCCTTCCTCACTATAGCCTACTGACCCACATGACTATTAATACAGGTCAGTCATGCAACCTGGAAATCAACTTTCCCAGGGTGACGAGGCTGCTGAAAGAAGGGGGAAGATCTATGACTGTGGCTGCCTACCATTGATGGATGCTGGATCCAACCTACTGTCTCATCTCCTGCCTTGCCCCATGCTTTGTGGGTCCCAGGCCATCTGTTGGGGACGTCTGGAGAACAGTATGTGCTTTCAGCTCCACCACTCTACTGCCAGCCAGCTGACTGGGCAGCTTGGAGCAGAAAATATGCAGGATGTGCTTTCAGCTTCAAACTTCCATCGTCCAGTATGATCCAGTTGAAGGGAGTGTCCTGAAGTAGTGGAGCTCCAGCTTCTGATAAGCCAGCAATAGGTGGAGGTGAGCTTAGAGCTGAAAGCACATAATGTGGTCTATCTGCTCCAAGCCTCCCTCCTGACTGATCAGCTGATGGGGGGGCTTGCAGCTCAGATCTGTGCCCCTTCTATCAGCTGGCCAGTGACGTTACTACCATCCCAAAAGTGGTAGTTGAGATCTCAAGATGTAGCATTGCATGATCACGATTGGTAGTCTGGTTTGTGTGAGTTGCAATATCTATACAGTTTTGGGATGCCCCATTTTTTTATGTTTATAGGTTTACTTTTTTGTGAACCTTGTTCTAAAAATGTAGTATTTCTATGCATGTTTTGGTTAGCTTCTCAACCATACCTTGTAACTGTAATGTGCTGAATAGTTGACCCATTTCCTGACATCAGTCTTGCCTTCCACAGAGATGGAACGAACGGCAGCCTTGGATGCTGAAGTGGTTGGCATGTCAAACTCCACATCCGCATAGCGGACAAAACTGGAAGGCACTTCCCGGTCAGAACCAAGCTCCAGGTGGCAGAAGAAGCAGTGAGGATGACCAGAACCTGTAAACAACCAGAGCAAGACTATGGAAATTAAAACCTTGCTGAGATTTAACAATGAAATTGTTTAGAAGGAATGTCTGAAACCAGAAGAAAGCAAGTCAAGGACAGAAAGGCGGGATATAAATATTGTAAATAATAAAGACAACCCAATTCAGAGTGCTGTTTCTATGTAGACACAGTAGGTTGCATGTACCCTACTGGATTGTGGTGACTGAATATACTGTGTGGATGACACATTCTGTTGTTGACTTTTGGGTTGACTCCTACTGACGTAAACATGACATCTGAATAGTTTTTATTTTATTTTTTAGCCTTGTGGTACCTGAATGGCCACAAACTGAATCTAAACTTTTCAGAGACAGTGAGGAAACATCTGGGCAGAGGCTGTTTATGTTCATTGGCTTAATGAGTGCAAGAAGCTCAGGAAAAATATTTTTGTAAGCAGGAATATGAGCAAAGCATGCATTGATAAAATGTGGGACTGAAGCATGTGTGTATGTATGTGTGGGTGTGGGGGAATGGGATTCAACCTTCCACCCTGCAACTTTTTCCCCATTCAAAACGATCCCAAGTGCATTACTTGCCCCACTGGAGCTTTGCACGTGGAAACCTATTGCTGCCCATACAATCCCCACTGGGGCAAATAACACCTCCTGAGAATTTTGTGTGGGGAAAAATGGCACGGGGTGGGAAGCTGATGCTCCTTCTGATCCAAATCTGGCCCCTGTGGCATTTGGGAACTTAGTTCCCTGAAGTGGGCATCTGACTGAGGGAAATGAGAGTTGGGCTGGGAGAAAGTAGACCTGATGTTAAAAAAAATGTAATCCTGAAAGAAGACTCTTATAGGTTTAAGACTGTCTTTGATAAACTGTTGGCTCTTGGTGTTCACCTGGACATTATTCAGGCCCAGGGTTTTCATGCAGCATTTGCTTTAGTGAGAAATCATGTAAAATCAATCAATCACCAAAGCTCTGCCTTTAGACCATGCTGCACCTGTTCATCCCAAGTTTTTTGGTATTCCACCTCCAAAATCTCTTCCTTCCTACACTTATCTGTTGTCTTTTCAAATCCTGTTAAGAGTGTTTATCCTGGCCAGACTAAATGCTCACTCCTTGACAGTTAAGAGGGGCAGGTTCATGTGTTTACTTTATTCAGAACGAATCTGCCCTGTCCCTTAGGTAAGATTGACACGATAGGACATATCCTTCTGGAGTGTCCTTTGTATGCTAATTTCAGGAGGCATTATACTTTACCATGTTTGCAAGTTCATTTGGATGTATATTCCTATGACTTAGTTACCTTTTCACTTTCTGACAGGGATCCAAAAATAACTAACAGTTGCAATTTTTAAAAAATTCTTTTGTCTATTGGGTGATAAGTGATTAACAACAAGTATCCACTGCTCAAGATGATGTATCATAGAGCTTTTATTGGATAAAAGGAAAGGGGGGAAATATAATGTCTACTTTGGCCCTAAATCCACTTTCTAGGAAATAGGCCCTGTTGAGCTCAGCACAGTTCTAATCTCACCTTGGTCATGAGCTTACTAGACGGCTTTAGGCAAACCAGTCTTTTTCATTCTCAGCCCGTCTGCAATATGAGACTGAAGAGGATTTTTAAAATTTAAACTTGGTAAGTTTAAATAAAAACTTGGTAAATTTAAATAAAATTTCTAAGGAGACTTGTTTCAAGATTTGTTAGGAGACTTGCTTGAAAACGGCCCCATTTTTTAGATTCACAAAATCCCTGCAATACGCTTTTTAAAAAGGGGACATCCACTATTGGTAGGAGTTGATCATATGCCAATTGCCCACGAGATTCAGCATCAAAGTGGTATTCTAAATCCTTCAATCGGTGTCGGGTGTCTCACAACAAAAAGTAGCAATAAACTATTTGCGCTGATGTTTTCTTCACACTCTGTTTTGCTCGCCTACAAACAGACACACTGAAGCATCACATCATGTCCAGCTGGGACTGAGGCTCCTCACAACCTGTAAACAAGGCTCCTTTCATCAGCCAAAATCCACATGTTGCTTTTGAGTCAGTGAAATGCAATACAAGTCACCAAACTGTTCTTGGAACTGACACAGCAGTGCTTTTTTGTGGAATCCGTTTTTTGCTATGTTGATCTTACAGCTCCAAACTGGCCCCAGCGTGGGATTTTTCACGACCAGTTTTGTGCCATCAGAAAACAGCTGCCCCTCGACGCAACAGAGGACAGCTGTACAACTCACACACTTGCCTTCTGTTTCGCAAGGGGCAAGTGGTGCTTTCATGCATCACAAAAATCAGTCCAGCAAGACCCGAGTTGGACCAATTTCAGAATAAGCCAAAAGTACACATTATTCAGGCAACATTGGTGGATTCAACACCTCCAAATTCTCTGAAGAAGCAGCCCACATTTATGTATTCCTAGGGTTTCCAAGCTCCAGGTGGGGGCTAGAGGAATTACAATTGATCTCCAGACTGCAGAGATCAGTTCCATGGAGAAAATGGCTGCTTTGGAGGGTGGACTCTATGGCATTATACCCTACTGAGGTCCCTCTCCTACTTAAACTCCACCCCAAATCTCCAGGAATTTCCCAACCCAGAGTTGGCAACCCTAGTATTTATAGTAAGTTATGCCGTTATAGGCCTTCTTTTCCTTGCTATGGTAAACTTGGATGTCATTATTGAATGCTGCACTATGCAAAAAAAAAAATCCATGTAAAAAACTAGATATGAACATCTAATCTTCCACACATGGCAATTTTCTTAAATCATCTGAGCCCCACCCGCAGTCTGAAGTTCTGTGTGGACTCCGTTTCTATAGTTCATGCCACTTGTAATATCAGACTGTCAAAGAATCTTGAATATTTTTGACAAGGGCTGTCATTATGGCATTATGGCAGAGTAACAAGGAAGGCAAATGGGGATTATTTTGGAAGACTGCAAAAAGGCATGAAATCTTATCTGTTCTACCTTTATCCTGCCCATCTTCTAAGGCGTTAAGGGATGCTATACATGGTTTCCCATACCCACTTATCCTTATGACACTTGGTGAGTGTCTGGCTCAACAGCATCCATCAAGCTTCAAGGTAGAAGAGAGACTTGAATCCACATCTCTCCAATTCTGACACTGTCATTACCATTCCATGCTGGGGAAGTTTCTGCAGGACAGTTAAGGTCCGTCCAGTCTCCTAGTTTCCCGAGACTTTAACTAGATGCTGCTTATGCCTTGCCAAACATTTCTTAGAAAAGCTCCTCAAGATGTACTTCTTCAGTGAAGATGTTCCTGTAGTACCTTAGTGCTGGCTGCCACTGTAGTATTCTAATCTCATTATAGTACTGTAGTACCCTAAACTCATTTCACCAGCAGCTTCATTTTTATCTGACACCTACCCCATTCTCAGTACTGATTTGCTTTTCCCCAGCCTCTTTTCCTGTTGTCTTGATGTAAGCTGTAATATAAGGGCCCTTCTAGATAAGAAAAGAATTTGTGCCCCCCCCCCCCCTTTTCAACCTTATCGTTGAATGGGCTGTATAGCTTTGCTGTAGCCATGATGCAATGGATTGCCCTTTCAAGGTTAACTTTTTCATAAAATGCACATGGACCTCAGAATTCTGAGAACTTTGATGTCTCCATCATCTGCTGGAATCTAGTCAGGCCCCCTCTGCTATGACTTCAGAGCAGCTACACCAGTGGCAGCCAGCAGTAAAGGGCTATGATTTTTATGCCAACAGAAACCTGCCTGTGATATCTGAGCAGATCAGACAACGAGTCAAGAGAAGCAGAAAGGACAGAGGCAAAAGAGGAGAATGTAAAAGCAGGACGGGTGGCCTAAGCAGCACCAAGAGGGTTGTTTGGTACAACTAGGGTCCATTGTTCTAATGATTAGGACTGTTGCAATTCAGAAAATGTAGTTACCTCAATTTATGCAGCCACACTTTCTGAACTTTCCAACAAAACATATTTTAACAACTTTTAAATCTGTTGGGCCAAATGTACCCCCAAGTACGCTGTATGAAATACAACTTTTTGCACAATCATCCAGTTTAAGCAGTACTACCCACCAGAGTTTTTGTCAGGCAGTCGATTTATCCTCCATACAATGGAATTAAAGGCATGCTCATATTTGGCAGTTCCTAGTGTTACTCTCATTACTGGCTCTGAACCAGAAATGCTGGTGGATCCAAAGCTGGCACACTTATTTACTTTTGCTTTCAAAGACTTTTCCCCCAGGACACTTTCTCTACGGAAATTTTTCACCCACTCCTGTGGCACTGGGTAGCAGACCATCACATTTTCACAGGGAACCTGACTTAGAGGGTCTCGGTTGGAGGAGAATCCTGGAGACATCATCAGCCAGCTCTGGAGTTCCACCTCAGCCCCACTGATACTGGCTGCAATCCTCAAGGTGAAAGGCAATGTCTTCTCAGAAAATGTACTCCTAAAGCGCATCAGTTCAAAGCGGCAGGCATCCAAGGGGTTAAATAGAATTACGCGGTTGCTGGTGAACATCTCCTCATCCACACAGGCATGAAAGTGGCAGTCATGCAACTTAATCCACTTGGTGGTGGTGGTGGGCATGATATCATGCCTTGAGACAATTTCATTCCCTTTGACTAGGATATCATTGAGGCCTAGCCGGCATTCTGCCAAGCCAGAAAGGAATGTGAGAACGTGCACTCTCGTCAACACATTGTGCTGCAGAATCCTGTTGTCCCCTTTGGCCAAGATGCCATAGAACTCATCCTTTACATCCACAGTGATTTCCTCTTCTTGGTAGTTTAGTCCCACTGTGCTCAGGTCTGTTGATGAGGTGGGCAAATCCATTAGTGTATCCTGGACGGCCCTGATGAAGCTGAGGAAGTCTTCATAACTAGTGGTACCAAGCTTTATAACCTGTTCCCTCTCTGCTGTGTGAGTGACAGATGGCTTTGGCTGGTACTTCTTTTTCTCCTTATAGGTGGTACGGTCTATCCTCACACTGTGTATCCTACCATTCTCATCATAGTTCTGAAGCTTGGGCTCTGAAATCTCATGGTTGATGTCAAGCTTGAATTCCCTGAAGGGCTTCTCCAGCCCCTTCTCATAAAAAAGCTGCACATACCCACCCTCAGTCAGCTTCACATAAATTGGCCCCCAGTGTCTAGAGGACATGATGTTCTTCTTCTCTGGTATCCTCAGCATCATTGGCCAACCATCCTTACTCTGAGGTGGCCCCAAGCTGGATAAAGTGCCATCCAGCTGAGATGGCAATGTGGGGTCATCATCAGGCAGAGCAGAACTGCTTAGCTCATCTGGATCCCCAATCTGGAGTTGCTTGAGTTGTTCAACAGCATCTCTGTGCTTTAGGTGCTTATTTGACTCATTGAAGCTGATGGTGTCAGGCTGCTGATGGAGGACAATGAGGGAATCTCTCTGATTTTTACCAGGGGCACCAGACATAGAGCCAGACTGGGAGCGCCTCTCTCGTTCCTCAAAGAAAGAGCTGAATGGGTTGATAGGGGAAGGTTGAACATCTTTCAGAGATTCATCAAGGAAAGGGTTAGTAGCACTCCAGGGGGGTGTACCACCAACCGAAGGCAACCTGGTTACAGAGGAAAGGTCTAGTTTCTGAACTTTGGAGAGGTCACCTAGTGTGCTCCTGGGACGTTCCCTCTTTTTAAAAGATGAGGAGAGGAGCTTCGAGTTTGCATCTGGGGCCTGTGCTGCTGCTGTTGCTGCTGCTGTTGGTGCAACTGGTGGAGTCACTGTGGGTGGGATGTCTGATTTCACGGGGGGTAAAGTCTGTGGAAAAATACAGTTGACTTCATTGTCATCAAAAGTCACCCAGCTGGGGAAATGAGCTGGGGTGAGGTTTTCACTGTGGCCATTAAAGGACGAGCCATTCAGCTGCCAGCTGGGAGTCTCCATTCCTAGCTCTTCATCTTCTGGAAAAGATGAGGAATTGTCTAAAGGAGAAGGAGAAAAGAGAGCCATTACTATAACAGAAATTAATTATATATATATATATTTGTTGCCGTACATGTAAGGACTACAATGCAATGTGTGTATGAAAGTGTGCTAGAATGTTCTAGATTTGGGAACTTGTTCCTGTAGAACAAAAAGCCATGATAGCTGTGAAAAAGATGCCACTGTCATCTACTTTATAAAATTGCTGATGAAAATAAATGCTCTTTACAAAAGTCCAAAATGAGGCAGACATTTTGGTTCTGCTTATAATGATGAAGTTGATGCAATCATGGTACACTACATTCTTCTGAGATTCTTTTAATTGGTCATCTCTGATCAGCCATGTTCAGATACATTGTCTGGGTCCACAAGATTCCCCTGTGTAGACCATTTTTAAAAATACAACTGTGCTCCGCTGCATTCTCTGGAGAGTCTATCAGCCACACCAATCTGCCTCCAGTCAGTGCACACTTTTTTTTTTGACAGTTTGCCAGGTTCAGTAGCCTGCCTCGGCAGGGAGGGCAGGGTATAAATCTAATAAAATAGATAAAAACAAAAAAGGCCAACCATTCAGCATTAACTCACAAAACAGATTTGTGAAGGTTTAGCAACTCTTTAAGTTCTCTTGTTCAAAGAAATACATTTCACACAAAAAATGATGCTAAGGAGAAAAAAACAGCTAGGAGGAAATATGAAATTATATAGTGCGGTTTCTCCTTCTCATGGCTATCCACAGCTCTAGGAGTCATACCTCACTTACCAAACAGATATTCCCTAAGAAAGGTGTGACTGATAGGTAGCTGTACTGCCCTTTCCTAAGTCATGTACAAATCCCTTGATACCAAGGTTTGAATGTTCAGAGCCATAGCAACATCCAATCAGGAAGGAGAGAATGTTGGAACACTGAGTAGGAGGGGAAAATGGAAAGTGAACTGACAACTCCAATGGTTGTTCCGGAGACAAGTGTTATGACTACTGATGGTATCAGTGGGTTTGGAAGTTTGGCTCAGGTATGATTATTTGATTAAGGTTACCAAGGAATTACCTTAAGAATGAGTCTTCTCAGCAAAGTAGACTGGATATACCAACATTGATGTGATTGCAGGGTCTGGCTGATTTGAAGAACTCCTGAAATTGGTGTTGGTGTATGTTGGTTGACTGAAACAGTTGTCAGTCATGGCTGATAGTGCTTTTAAGCTCTGAAAGGTTTGGGTTATCTTGTATTAAGCCCACTTGTAATTTTTCCGAAATTTTTGGGGGGGGGGGGGAGATTGGCCTCAGCCAAAAGCTGTGAAGCTATGTTGCTGCAATAACATTCAAACAGCAGCTGTCTGTCAAACCCTGCTAAGAAACCAAATAATTATTCTTTTGTAATCCTGCTTCCTGTGCCTCAGCAATGTTTACAAATAATTCGTCATTCCTCACAATAGTGAACTCACATTACAACAGCCATCAAAATAAAAATTGAGCCCCGTTACCTTAAAACCCATCAAGGGGGATTTCTGTCTCGAGCCCCCCCCCCCGCTAAAGAGTAATCACAAAAGGTAATATTTTGTTAGGCCTGTTTAAATGACTGTCTCATAGCTGAGAATCTGTCTTTATGGTGGAAGGAGGCAGAAGGGGAAGAGAGATCTCCTGTGTGTTGCAGGGATTGTCATAGTGAGGGGAGACAGAAGAAGTGTTCACACAGACATGGATTGCACTTCACGGGGTCTTTTTGAGTGGAGGCTAGTGTGGATCTTCCCAGTAACAGGGGTAGGTAGATGTTGCACCACTGCAGGTACATTTACAGGTACAACAATTTACTTCTCCCCAGGAGCAAATGGTCAGTGCAGTGTAATAATCAGAGTGTCAGGCTTGGACCAGAAAGATATGGATTTAAATTCCTACCCAGGTATGAAATTCACTAAGCAGGTCAGTCACCCTCTCACCCTCGCCTACCTCATAGGATTCTTATGAGGATAAAATGGGCCATGAACACTGCTCTGGAAGAAGAATGAGATTTAGTTGATACATGGGACAAATAAAGGAATGTATGAAGGGAAATACCTGGGATAGAGTCTTGACCTGTCTTTGCATCAGAGAGGAGTTCAGAGAGGAGTGCTGAATACTTGGATAAAGAGGAAGTTATGTATGCCATGGGTCTAGGAGCATCACTGGTATGCCTTTTGAACTGCAGATTACAAAACTGCACCACTGTGAATCCAGCCTGTAATTTCTCAGGTCTCTTTATTTCTGTATCAGAGAATAGCTGGATGAAATTTCCTGTTTATGGTATGCAGGCCTCAGTTCCTGCCAGAGCGCGCCACAACGCCGCTCCGCCAGTAAGAAGCCCAGGGGGCGGGCACATAAGTCCCGCCCCCTGCTCCCACCAGCCATCAGTCAGGCCACGAAAAGCAAGCAGCAGGCAGGTAAGTTCCCTGCAGAGCCCTCCTGCACCAGAGCACCAGGCCTGAAAAACGCCCCGCCCTCGCCACCTTTTTCAGGCTCCGCGCCGGGCCTGAAAAATGGCCTGCAGAACCCCACCCCACCCTCACCGCGTTTTTCAGGTTCCAAGCCGGAGCGCCGGGCCTGAAAAATGGCCTGCAGAACTGCCCCCCCCCCCCCCCCCCCCCCCTTTTTCCACCCCCGCCCCGGCACCGTCGCATTATATATTACCTATTTTTTTGCCCTTTTGTTAACCAATTATAATCATTACCCGACACAAAATCTTTCTCAACTACCTTTTACTTATCTCCTCTGTTCAATCACTATTTATTCTTCATTTTAAATTTATAGTAACTTTATATACTCCTGAAATTCATCTATCAACTCTCATCTGTTAATTAGTTCTGTTCCAGCAAGTCATAACTTCTACCAATACTCCTACACCATCCCTTAACCTTTTTCATTTTTTTTCTTTTCCCCTCATTGTGTGTTACAGTCAAAATACACAACTCACTAAGTACAATGGTCTACATAGCTGTTTAACTACAACCCACAGTTAGTCATGAAGCACAGCAAGCAGGCTTACAACGGAAACCCAAAAATAATATTAATAATAATAGTGCTAATAAGCCCTACAACTAAATTATATAGCTATAAGCACTTCATTTGATCCTAAAAATTATTATTTTCGTTATCAGTAATCCAATTCATTTCCACACTAAGTACAATAGTTTATGCGACTATTTAACTACAACCCACAGTTAATCATAAAGCACAACAAGCAAACTTAGGAAGAAAGTCCCAACAAAAATAAAAATAAGCCCGAGCCGCCTTTTTCAGACTCCACGCCGGAGAGCTGGGCCTGAAAAACGGCCTGCAGAGCCACCTCCCACCATTTAAACCGCCTCTCCTTCCCTCTAGCAGCCGGGTTGCTCGGGCTCTCTGCAGCGCGGGGATCCTGAGTAGGGGTGTAAAAAAAAAAATCGGGCAGAATCATTTTCTGCTGCCAGAAAGACTCCCACATGTCAATTTCGACAGTAGCAGCCCATTCAGGAGTCTTTCGGCCAGCCAAATGTCAATTTCGGCCCCATTATAGGGGAGCGGTGGCACAGGGGATTTATCCTCTGGTTAAAACATCTGAGCTGAACAGTACTGCTGTCAGTTCTAGCCCTGTGCTGGTGTGAACTACCAGCCTTGTCCCCAGCTCGCCGTCCACCCAGCGGTTCGAAAGCTTCGGCGAGTAGATAAAATGAGTCCCACTCCTTAGAGAGGGTGGGGGAGGTGTTAGCCAGCCAACAGAATGTCCAGCGCGTAAGATCGAAAGCCTAGAAAGAACTCTTCAGCATCAAGAAAGCCTGTAATGGGCCGTCCAGCCAGGCGGTGGCAGTGCTGCGCTGCAACTTGAAGCAGTCCTGGAGAAAAGCTGACAACATCAAGCCACGCAGAGGGAAAATGCCATTGGAACATGTCTGACCCTACAGCTGAACAAACTCCCTGTCGACTGCGAACGTGTGTGATTTAAAAGATTTATATGTTGTCTTCCCTTACCCTTTGAATCATTGTTAGTCCTGTGTGTATATGAGTAACTGTAAATCACTCAGAGCCAGCAAGCTCTGCAGGATTGAGCGATTAATAAATTGAAAGATTATTATTACTATTATTATATCCTTTGGGCCATTGAAGTCAATGGCAAAAACATAGGGTATATTCTGGGGGCTAGAGGAGAGGGGGCTTGAGCGAGAGGCTCCAAACTCGCAGGGTAGCTGCTGGAGCCTCTCCCCAAAGTACCCACCAAGCTTCAAGAACATTGGACCAGGGGGTCCAATTCTACAAGCCCCCATCCCCTTCATTGCCCTCTATGGTGGGGGGGGAGTTACTTTTTTCCCACCGTAGAGAACAATGGAGGGAATGGGTGCAACCTGTTTGGGGCCCCGTAGAATTGGACCCCCTGGTTCTTGAAGCTTGGTGGGAAGTCAGATGTTGTTTTTTTTTGTGAATCTCAATTCATCACAAGCCAGTTTTGGCAAGATAAAATATTCCCTTTATAAAGACTTTTGGGTTAAAACCAGCCCAGCTTCACTCAATTTCATTTGCTTTCATTTAGTAGAGCTTGAAAACTTAACTATTCACATTTCACTGTAAAATGCTCAGGAAAACCGAGGAAGACTCATGAGCAAGAGATGTATGGCCATCATTTTGTATTAAGTTATAAAGATGTTTGACCTTGAGGTATATTTAGACCAATCCCTTTAACTGAGAAGACCCAAACCCCCATTTTACTGGTTGCCACATCAGTGTGGATGCTGCTAAAGAAAAGAGCTTCCATTCCATTGGTCAGTGATACACACTGCAATGATAGCATATACAAGAGGTAATTATGCAGGCTTTCTAGGTACTGTTGTTGCTACTTACCATCCCAGAACAAGATGGAGGAGCAGGGCTGTTCGAGGTACAATGCAGGTTAGCCATATGTAGGGTTGCCAACCTCCAGGAGGTGGAGCTCTCCCACTTTTAAGACTGATCGCCATGTGACAGAGATCAGTTCATCTGGAGAACATGGCTGCTTTGGAAG